TAGGCAATTTTTACATCAAGTAGTCAACAAGTTTCAAGGATAGTCAAATTTACAATTAAAATCATTGAACACCATTAATGACTAATAATTATCAATTAACTTTAATTGTAGTTAAGGCCCTCAAAACTCACTTTCATTAACTTATTTATCCTTTATTAAGTTTAATAGACACTGTTAACTAACTTCATAGCTTGAACTTAATTAATTAGCATTAAGGTTAATTCTAAACTATAGTTTATCAGTCATTAGCTTAATCTAATTCAAAACAACTCTAGGGTTTCAGATTTAAGCACTCCCTTATGATAAACATCTTCAAAACAACTTAAATAATACCTATTGGACCTCAAACAACCCAAATAATTTAAACCCAATAGTTGGGCAACCCCAAAAACAAGAACCCTAACATTATTTGTTATTAAAACTAGCTTAAAGAGAAGATTAGATGGATGAAGGAAGATTATAAGTGCTAACTTGGGTGATTAGGAGTTAAAATTTGTACCCTAGTGTTAAGAACTCCAAAATTCTAGCGTAGCTCTTCAAAAATGGCCCAAAATCTCTCAAAACTCCATTTTTGTGTTCTGTCTCATGACAAAACATTTAAGTAGGAAAACATGCTGTTTGCCGCAGCCAACAGTGCCACTCACCGTGGCCAACAGTACCATTTCACTCAACCAATTTCAAAAATGTATAATTAATTTCACACATATTCAAAAATTACAAACTAGAACTCATAAAAATCTAGAGATGTCTACTTTTTAATGCAAAAAAAAATACTCAAAAATATTATCTTTTTTTTTAATCTTTGATTATAGAGACAATTCATTGCTGATCTTCTTTCAAGTCCTAATTGATTATAAATTATTTTTCAATGTATTTAAATACCCTTAAAATCTCTTAAAATATTATTAACATAATTAAATCAAAGGATTTGGATGTTACAATTTCTCTAGTCCCATTTGAGATTTCAATCAATGGAATTATATAATAATTGTTTGAATAAACCCTAGGTCATTAGAAGGAGGATTTTGAATTTCTGAGCATGTAATGGTTGGAAACTTCGATTAATTTCTTTGGTCATCTCTTTTATACTTTAATGGGACTTGAAACTAAGCATAATTTGGGAATTATAATGGATTTTAAAATTTTGAAGTATTTAATTCAAAATTTGATGGGATTTTTTATTGGAGTCAATAGGATATTATGTATCCAAGAATCTAATTCAGTTATTAATTTTAGATAATGAGGATATTGTGTTTAAAATTTTATTATATTTGTGTCGCCCTAAAAAAGTTTCACGGAATTGGTTTTGTTTATTGTTTGAATGATAGTTTGCTACTTTGAAAATTAGAGAAATGTGCAAATAAGTAAGGAAATTGGGACACTTGTTTGGGAATAGTCATGAATTTGGGTTGCAGGGATTGTATTCATATTTTGATCTTATTGGTGGTTGGTGCCGGTTTTTTCCTCGTGCCATTGGTTGTTAGTGGCCCTCTTAATTTGAGTGGTTGAACTAGGAATTTATTTCTTCTCATTCTTAATTGCCAATTAATAAAAATAATTTAACTTATGATGTTGATTGAAAGGGGAAAAGAGACTTTTGTTGCGGTGAATTAATGTTAACATGGAATTGCTGATCTTAATAATAAAAGTTATTTTAATTAAGTTGTAATTATGATTCTAAAGCTTGTTTGGATATCATTTTAGAATCAATTCTAGGTTCAAAATTATGGTTTTAAAAAATTTTATTCAAACACCGCAATTTTTTCAAATTTCATTTGGTTTCCAAAATTTCATTTGAAATAAGGTGAAATTTGTTTCATTTTAAAAAATTAATATCATAATCAATTTTTAAAATTTTATCCAAACACCATTACATTCTAATAATCAATTTTTTTCAATTAAAATCCAAACACACCTCTATGCATTATCCTAATTCTACCAAGGTAAGTCATGAAATTCAATTTCATCAAATTTGATGAAAATGAGTTTAACATAAAAAGTGAGTTTCATTATATTGACTAATTTTTTTTTACTTTTGTATATATATTTTTTTAAGACAATCTTATTCAAAACACAATTAAATATTAAATATAAATATCTCTTTAAGAATTTAGATATTAATTTATTATCCTGTAAATAACTTTTTTCAAACTTTCATTTTCATATTTTCACTTACAATTCCAACTTATCAAATAAAATATTAAATCAAAGATTGAATTTCAAGAGAATGGGATTTCCTGAGAGCTTCAACCTTCCATTGACCTTTTTTTTTTTTTAAAAAAACATGAGGATAGCAAGGTCATTTCATAAAAAAATCTTAACATGGAAAAATGATCAAAAACTTCAAAGAAATTAAATAAAGAAAAATGACAAGAGGTCTAAAAAAGATTAATTAATTTAAATAAATTTTAAGTGTTAAATTTTAAAAATTTACAACTCAATCTTTTAATTTTATAATTTTATTATAATAAATTTATAATTTATATTTTAAATTTTAATAAAAATAAATTATTTTATTCTTCGATTATATTAAAATTTTAAAAATAAATTATAAATTTATCATAATATAGTTATAAAATTAAAAAATTAAATTATATATTTTTAAAATTTAATATTTAAGACTTTCGTTAAATTAATTAATTTTTTGAGATTTTTTTTATTATCCTCCCATTGGATCATTTCGTGGCCCTTTTGCATTGTGTCTATCTTGAGGTCTGGTGTGCAATATATGTTTCCATATTTAATTTAAAAAAAGCCATAAAGTGTGATTTAGTCATGTAGTCCATTTCGCTCATGATGATTGATTAGGGGGTACTAAATGAAAAGAGACTTTACTTTTGTCGTATAAATAAAATTAAATAAAATTCAAATATTGAGAATAGGTAAAGACTGTGCGTTGCGGACCTGAGTAAGCGCATTTCAGTAGCCAGTTGTCAGTCACAGAGGAGCAGACTAGCCCTGTTCTGCCCTCTACTTTTCCCAAAGCCCACGCGCACCTTTCTTCGCTTTGTTTTTCTGCCGCGGCAATCCATGGAGTATTTGAGAGCCACCACTATTGGTCATCAGCATCGTATACCATTTAAAAAGCACCAGCAGGAATAGTAATAGTAATAATAATAATAATAAAATAAAATAAAATACAGTAATTTCTTTCCTATTTTATTAAAATTATACCCCTTTAATAAATAAATATATCATATTTTATAAGAGTAAAAAATATTAAATATATTTTTTAAAAAATAATTATTAATTTTTTTTAAAAATATTCTTATTAATATATCATTTTATATTTTTAGGATGAAATATTTTATTAAATAAAAATAAATATAAAAAAATAAAATTAATTTAAAAATAAATAATTATTTTATTGGAGAGTGAAATTTAATTAAAATTGCATTATATTTTTTTAGTGAAGAGAGTATACATTTTTTTTATTTTCAAAATTTTCATTTTAATTCAAGTGGTTACACTAAACTATAAAAATTTTAAAATATTTAATTTTTTTATTTTTAATTAAGTTAAAAATTTTAAAATTATTAATTTATCCTTATAATTTAATTGTCTACTTTCTCTCTGAATTTAAAGATTTTAAATAGTTACGTATGTCAATAATTAAATAAATAATTTAAATTTTATGTTAAAATTAATGAAACTTAAAGAAAAGTAAACATAAATTATATTAAATAATTTATTATATTAAATTATTATTTCATAAATTTTTAACTACGTGATTGAATATTACATTATTATTACATTAATGTATCCACATTAATAATTATTATTACATTATTGGTAAACATAATGTATTCATATTTTTTTTTCTCTCGAACTCTATATTTGAACAAATGTATCTACTCAATCAATTTAAAGATAAAGAATATTTTTTAGAAATTATATATTAAAAATATATGATATTTTTAGTATTTTAAAATATAATTAATGTATTTTTTTCAAAAGTTTTATAATAAATAAATCACTTTATATTTTTTAAATTGAAATATTAGGATAAATATAAAAATATGGTGTTAATTGAAAGAAAATTAATTACTTTATTAAAAATAAGATTTAGTTAAAAATATCATGTATTTTTTAATAAAAGAAGTATAATATAAAATATTAAAAATTAGAAAACAAGAAAATATGACAAGGGAAACAAATCTTGAGACTATAAGTCTGCTTAGCCAGTGTTATGATATCAATCAAAATCAATTTTGAAGGTTTAGGTTTGTAGAAATTATACAATAACTTATATTACATATTAAAATTAATTATAAATTTAAAATTTTAATTTTTCTTAAAAGTATTCAAACACTCATATATATGCTAAAATTAGTTATGAATTAAAAAATATAGCTTCTTAAAAGCATTCAAATCCCTCTATTCATACTAAAATTAATTATAAATTTAAGATTATGATTTTCTTAAAAATAACCAAATACCTTTATACAAGCTAAAATTAATTATAAACTAAAAATCATAAGTAATAAAATGGAGCTTATATAATTTTTGAACAAATTTTTAAAAAAATATAATTAAAAAGTAAGTAATAATAATATAAAATAGCTTTAATGAGTTGACAATTAATTTTGATATAGATATATATGTTTAATTATTTTTTTTAAAATATGATGTTGTCTCATAGTAATCAATTTTTTTTATATGTAATAAAAATATTTGAATATTTATATTGAGAAATGATTTCTTTTAATTCATAATTTTACTATGTAACAGAAATATTTGATTATATTTTCATAAAATTATAATTTTTTTTATTTTTAATTATACTTTTCAATTATAGAATTTAGACAAAAAATTAATCCTATAAATCAATTACCATCCAAACTGAATTTTCAATCATGCCTATTTACATTGAACTTTGTGAAAGGATAAAGTGCGGCACTAGATAGCACGCGCAGACATGTAGAGCGTGGGCTTTATTTTATAACCAGAAAACATTTAAGAAACGACGACTTCTCTTTTTCTCCCTGACGTGAAGACGAACCCTTGTCTGCTTCTCGATTTTTGAAGTGTAAATCTCTGCTTCTCCAAGTTTCTTACATATCTAATCCATCTATCTCTTCCCAAATCCTCTCGACAAGGTCACGAGAACGAAGCATTCCGATACCAAAAATGAAGATTAAGAACAAAGGTAAAGTTCACCCTTCTCCGTCGTCTTCTTCTTCCTCCGATCACGCCGATGTTCTCCGGCTTCTTCCCGCCGCTATTCTCGCTCTCGCTTCCGTCCTCTCCGTCGAAGACCGTGAGGTCCTCGCTTACCTTATTACCAGGTCCATGGACGCTTCCATTTTTCTGGAATCTTCCAAGAAGAGGCCGTCGTCGTCGTCCTCCTCCTCCTCCAAGAAGAAACCCTTCCCTCACAGTCCTCCTCTCTTCCACTGTGGCTGCTTCGACTGCTACACCAGCTACTGGTTCCGCTGGGACTCTTCTCCCAACCGTGAGCTCATCCACCAGGTCATAGACGCCTTCGAGGGCCACCTGACCAACGGGGAAAATGCCAAGAGAAATGGCCATAGAGGCCGGAAGAAAGAGAGAACGAGTCATCCTCTCGCCAATGTTCTTCCTCAGAACACAATCTCCTTGCACGAGGGTCCCCCGGACGTCGCTGACAGCTCCGGAGTCGCTGAGTCTCAAGATAGCGAAGCACCTTCGTCGATTTCGCCCGGAGGAATGGATAATGCTGAAATGAGTGAGCGGCAGGAGACGGAGAAAGAGGCAGATAAAGAAGCATCGGCGGTTGAGGCGACGGAGACGGAAGAAGAAGAGGCGAGTCTGGCCTCTCCTCCGATGCCGGCGAGTAACCACAGAGGTTTGGCGAGGATGGTGTTGCCGGATGTGATGGGAATATTGAATTCCCGTTTATGGAACCTTTGGGGTCCGAATGTTTAATGCAATTATTTTATTTTATTTTTCTCGAGCCCAAAAAAGAAATGAGAGAAAGAAAATGGGGGGAAAATATTTTTATGATATCAATGGTAGGTTTGGTCTCTGTCACCCTGAAATGCGAAGCCCTTATTTCAATAAAGGAGGAGGGTTTAGCTAAGCTGCGTGCTGTCTCACTGTTGAGTTGGTGGGCTTTTTATTTTTAATTATTATTATTATTATTATTATTATTATTTTCAAAGTTCTATTTTTCCCCCTCCCTTGTTGGTCTATCTGTAAACCAAAAGGTAGTTGCCGGCGGGAAGTCATTTTCCGGGCGGTGGACTTAATTCAAAGTTTCTAAGATACTCTGGTAGGATATTTTGATTAAATTTTGCTTAGGAGCAACGTTTGGTCCTTTGGTGGAACTAGATTTTGTGAAATTTAAGGATTAAAAATATAGAATTATTTCTTTTTTTGTTTAAGCTATCAATATATTTTACATGGTGAAAACGAAAATAACGATATGTGGGCTTAATATTAGTAATGCAATATTGAATTATCCATTCCTAAGTCATGTACATGTTAGGGTTTCATCGTTCTGTCACTAAGTTTGGAAGTTTGGTTCTTTTACGTGGCTAAACGAAATTGCCTGGACATTTTAAAGGACATTGTTGGCAGCTTCATATATAATTTAAGGGAATTATTGTTATTGATTAAATTTATTGGTTATGCTACTCCGTCCCTAATTTGTTTTGTAAGTTAAGTAGTTTGGGTTTTATGTGTAAATACAACTTTGAAAAATAAGTCAAAAGTCATATTGTTAATACGTACAAGACATTTTTAAGGTGATTTGTGTTCTACAATATTAAGTTATTTTGATAAAAGTAAAATTTTATTAATGTTAATTATTTTAATATTACTTTTTATTAGTTGGTTTCTTAAATAAATTTATTTCTCCTCCCTTTTTTATTAAGGAAGGGTACTTGTGGAAAAAAAGTAAGATTGTAAGTTGTAATTAATAAATTTTATTAGTATATGTCATTTTGTTAAAAACAAATATCTTATAAATTAAAAAAAATGATTAATTCATAAAAGTATGATTTTTATACTCCTAATAATGCTTAAAGTGCTTCAAGTGGGAGAGAATTATAGTGGAGAGCGAAGGTACTATATGATAAATAAAATGACAATTTTGAAAAGACACTATCAATTTTTTATTTTTTTGTTTTTGTTTTGGAAAAAAGTCCTATATTAAGCCCGTGAGAAAGTATACATAGATCGATGGTAGATTGGTAGTTGGAGAAGAAAAGGAGCGTTGGAAGAGAGAATAAGAGTGTAATCCTAGCGTGTGGATAAGGGAAGCACAAAGTTGAAATTAATGAAGGAAAGCTTGTCTGCTTTCATTTTCTTTGCAATGTAAAAGACAAAATTGTACAAGTCTATTAGATTAGAATCAAGTCGAGAATATCTGCCTCTAAAACCAATCAACTTTGTTGAGTAAGACAAGTCCCTTTGGTGGGGGATCCAACAGCCTAAATATCTCATTAATAAAATTAAAAGATAAAATGTTAGTTTAGATTTTATTTGGGTATTAATAAATTATAAATAATAAATTTTAATTATAATTGATTATATTATAACGCAATCTGTTTGTATATTATTTTTTAAAATTAATTTTATGAAAATTAAATATGTTTAAATAATTTATTCAGAATTAATTTTATTAAAAAAAAAGAGAAGAAAAGAGAGTTTGATTTTTTTAAAAAAAAAAAATTTGTGTCTTTCTGATAATTTTTTTGATCCTTTTTTGGTAATTTCTTCAATACTTTTTTATCAATGTTTCTGGAAAAGCTCGAAATCTTGGTTTTGGAAAAAATTAATTTTTTGCCTTTTAAAGTGTTTGGCTAATAAACAAATAATTGATTTTTTTGAGAACAAAATCAATTAAAGACATATCCAAACAGGCACAAAAATGTCTCATAAGATGCTGATATCCTAAGTTTTTTTATTTTCAAGTAACGTCTCTGAAATTTTTAAAAATAATATAATTTTTTTTCATTATTAGTTTAAATTAACGTTTAACCATTAAATTTTACTTTGACCAGGAAATTTTTTATTTTGAACTGTTGACTGGATTGCCCCCTTATCTTCCACTTTTCTCAATTTCATCGTTCAGTTGTCAAAAAGAAAGGATAAGCTCCTCACATCCAAACAAAATGGTAGATAGAAAAGAGTGAAGGGCCAAAACTTCCAACCCATTTGCACACATTGAAGCTGCAGAGAAGGAAGAGGAGTTTCGAGCTTGCCACACACATCCCACGCAATAGAGGACAAGAATCGATGGGTCTGCCACAAAATACTCACCACTTACAGCATTGACGTGGTGATCAACGATGCCAAGAATTTGCTGTCAGAAATCCAATCGAAAATCAGAATCTTGGAGATCCAAACAGAGTTTGGGCATGAAGACCCGCCTGAATTCGACCAATACTTGGTGGATCAGCTTGGTGAATTCCTGAGCCACCGGGATGATGACATGTTTGAGAAGACTATAGTGGAAGTGTTGCCCAAAAGGATCACGTGTGTTTAGAAGCCAAGAAAATTGGCTCATCTGGGAGCAAGGAGTCTTGCCCAAAAGAATGGTGTTTGAGAATAATGTTTATTTATTTAATGATAAAAAGTTAGAATCCCATTTAAAAATATGTTTAAGTGTCAAAGGATTTTATATATAACGGATGCGAAAGTCGCTGATTTCATTAACGAATTTCAAATTCAAATTAACCAATTAATTAAAGTCTTAAACTTTTTTTCAAGGGAGATTCAAAGTTTTCACCATTAAATAAATAAACAGTAGGCAAAATAAGATTAAATTAGAATTATAGACTATACAAAAGTATGAGACATCAATCATTTGGAAACATTGCAAAAAAAAAAAAAGAAGCAAAAAATGTCATTTTATAAAATTATGAATCATTCGCCACAACCAACGATGCATTTATCACGGCAAACCATGTTGAGATTAATTTGATCTACATAGTAGTCAACATTCTGCACATAAACAGTGGAGAATAGTTTGCTCTGAATTCAAAATTTAGGACCTAGGATGCTACTAGCACAATAGTTTAAAATCTGTGGTATTTATTAAAAACGACATATTAACAAGGGACTGCCACATCAGTATTTTGATTGAGCCCCAATTGATGAACAGTAACAACATTAATGGTGAGTTGATGGTGGAATTTAATTTGTTATGAATTTAAAAATTTAAGATTTATTTTACACATTTTAAGATTTTAGGGTCTAAAGCACTTTTTGTATGCAATACTTCAGGGTTCAAAATACTCATTAATCCTTTATAATATATTGTAGATGTAGATATTGTGGATGATAAAGTAATTGTAACTATGACTTCAAACAAAATTAAACCAAAATTACCTTCTTGAAATTATGGGCAACCATGACTTCCAACAACGTAATTGTATCAATCAGATTGCGATTGCTGTCATAATAAAGTAATGGTTTCTACACCCTTGTCCAATACCAACACAACAAAATGTATTTAACAGTATTAAATTTACAAATAATGATATGTTACTAGAATCAGCTAGTGTGAAATATATGGAACTAGGTAAAGAATTTTATTTGAATTCTAACCTTAAAGCATCCAGGAGCCGCTTTATACCTCATTCAGCATTTGGTCTGTAACTTGAAATAAACAGAGTCAAAAATTCAAAACATTTGAAACCTTTCGAAATATCATTAAAATATCTAAAAAAAGGAAGTGAAAAAGAAACCTTCAATGATTAATTAAAATATGATATGTGCTTTCATTGATTACTTTATTAGGATTAAAAATTAGTCTAATGCAAGTCTAAATAAGCAGCATGTCTAACAATATATAGAAGCTGCTTTACGCGCCAATTCTAATGAACTCGTGCTGTTGCAACCATCAACCACAAGTTGCATATTCTCTCATAGAGACATTATTTTTAGTAGAGTATCAGCCTTGATCAATTACACCAAACAAGGAGAATAAAAGCTTTAAAATGTACATTCACCAACCAATTTAAAGCTATACATTATTAAAAAAAAATTTTTATATCGGTTAAAAATAATTTTTTATATTGATTCTAAAACGGATATAAAAAAGGAGGGTGTAGAAAGTCTTGACTTTTTACACCGGTTTTATAATAGGTGTAAAAAGTATCCTTTTTACACTTGTTTAATTACAACTAGTGTAGACAGTGTCACTTTTTATTTAAAAAAAAGAATTTTTTTGGATTGGAGATTATTTAAATCACCTCCAATCCAAAAAATGTCATTTTTTATCATTACATATATTTCAATAGATCTCATAATAAATTACATAAATTTTGACCATTTATTATTTTTTAGTAATATTCAGAATAAAATAAATTTCATAATATTTACAAAGAGTTATTTCAAGATATATATATATATATATATAAATATTTTTTCCTTTATTGAAACTTCAAAATACACTAAAATTCATCATGAAAGCCATTAAATTATATTATTACATGAGTAAGTTCAATAACTAGTCCAGAATACTAAACATTGATGAAGCTTTAAAAAGTTATTTCTAGAATTATAATTAAATTAACAAAATATAACATTAATGAAGCTTCAAAAAGGATGAGGAAAAAAAAATCTAGTTAACTACCCTATCCTATGTCTTACCCCCATCATTTCTATGTATAAGAGAAAAAAATTGTATCGCATAGTTTAAAAAAGTTGGTTAATTATAATAATTACGTCTGAAAATAAAAAAAATTGAACTAAAATGCCTTATGTTAATCAACATAAATATACATTAATTATTTCTCGTTAATGTAAATTATGAGGGATGATTTAGAAAATGTAATAAATGATTATTGAAATAGGTGATTTTATTTATATAAAAAAAATAAAATTGAGAATTTTTTTTTACAAATAGAAACGAAGGGAGTGCATTGGTATTCACAAGATCAAAAGATGCCTATGCCACCTATTAAGAAAATAAATAATTTTCATCTTAGATTAATTAATTTCAACATCCAAATCTTACATCCAACTTAATATGGCACTACGACACAAAGCAATTTCAAATTAACTTCGTTAATTAGTCGATGGACATGACACAAAGCAATTTCAAATTAACTTCATTAATTAGTCAATGGTTTTTTATGGGAAGTCTAGGAATAAGTATGGAAACCATGAGCAAGAGATGATGATGATGAGATCTCCTTTC